TATGAATATGAATGACTTTTATGCATGCTTATGACTTAAACTGTCATTAAGTGTCATTTGATTAGTTATGCCTCTTTTAAATGCAAAGGTTACATTGTTTGAGATGTCTTTTTGACAAAGTGACATTACCAAGACAACATAACTAGTCATAAATCAGTCATAAACATGATTGTGATGACGCTGTTATAATTAAGTTGTGAAAACATTTCTTATCACTTTTGTTAGAGGAACAACAAGTGTCAACAATCATATAATAGCCGTTATTATTTTATGCCAATTTAAAGATCAATTTGAATTGTACCACTGTAGTTGAGGTCAAGAAAAATATGAATATAAAATGTTATAAAATTCATGACCAGTAAAAAGTAATTGATTGCAAGTTACTGATTACTATTGAACCATTGGAGGTCCCACTTTATATGTCTCTTATACCTGTGAACTTACACAGTAACTAGATGTGCAAGTAGCATGTAACTACTGTGTATGTACATATTGGTACATAGTATTTACTTGTGTAATATTGGTGTAATTACTCACATGTAACAACACACTAAATAGTATGTGTAAGTTCAAATGTGTAACAGGACATTAATAACACAATCTTTGATAAACTACCCCTTTAATGTGAATTACTGATGTGATTCTACAATTTACAACAGCTGCACAATTTACAATAACAACTTCCTGTTTCGTGGCAAATCGTCAAAGTTTGAGAGGCCACCACGGACACACCCTCCAACGAAAACTCTAGATCTTTGCAATTTAACATTGACAAGGACTTTAAATGAAAAAACCTAATTTTGGTGTTGATCCGATTAAATCCCTAAGAGTAGTAAAAACGGCACTTTTTTCGGCGCAGGAAGTTAAAAATATCCGACTTTTTGTTGGGTTTGAGATTTTGCACCCGTGGACTTTTTTTAGGTTTTGGCATGTTTGACGTGTATGCTAATTATCGTATGTGTGCGTGATTCATAGCTTGGAGGCCAGTCCGTCAAAAGTGCATAGGTGACGCTGTCGAGTCATTTTGCCACTGTCACTTCTGAAACCTATTACAAACGTAAATTTTTGCCACTACTGGGGCATGTGCAATGTTTCGTGAGTGTTCGGGCATGTTTAAACCCTCAAAATCACGATTCATTCCAGAGAAGAAGTGGAAGAAGCAGAATAATAAGAAACAGAGCAATCCCAAAATGGCCTACGCACCATAGGTGCTCGGTCCCTGATAATGTATTTATATATTTCTATATACACAGAAGTTTGCTGTTATTAAACAGTTGCACAAAGGCTTAGATTTCATATCTTACACAGTAATTTATGACAATTTTACACTTTATATTGAGTGCACAGTTCCTAATGATTTACCCTGTAATTACACTGGTGAATCACAGATGAAACCTTCTAATGCAGCATTAGTTCTGCCATTCTTATTCTAATACAGTGTTCAGAAGCACATGGTATGCAAACAGATGTGGAAGTGGGAATACATCTGCAAGTACATATTGTTGTTAATAAATGTACAATGCACTGAAATCTTGTTACAGATGTGTACTTTCTTAGTGTTGTTACTCTGTTACACATATGAACTTACACAAACTATTCAGTGTGTTGTTACATGTGTGTAGTTACACCAGTATTGCACAAGTAAATACTTTGTACAAGTGAATACATACACTGTAGTTACATACTACTTACACATATAGTTACCATGTAAGCTCACGTGTATAAGCGACGCTTAATGTAAAGTGGGACCCAGCAGCTTGACAAACACAAACGTTTTAAAGAGATAGTTTGTACAAAAGTTAAAATTATCTAATCATTTACTTTATCTTCACTTGTGCCAAACCTGTTTGTCTTTTTTTGTTGTTGTTCTTTTGAACGAAGAAGACATTTTGAAAAAAAAAATAGATACTTGTAACTCTTGACTGTGGCAGACAAACTGTAAACGCTCAAATGTGCGTATCGCTCCCAATATGCATGTACAAGAGGCACGCCTCCATGGAAAAATAATGTACTTGGGTGCGCAAAAGATGTGATATTTACATGGCCTCATAAGCAGCTATGCTTCTCTTCAGATTCCCAGAAGTTACCTTAACTCCTGATCCTGCACAAAAATCTAATTTAGGCTGAGTTGGGCCGCTGTGTTTCTGGGTGGTGGTGTCCTCCTTGGTGACGAGTATTGTCAAAGAATACTTTCTGTTCAAGATTGCTGGCCGAGTTAAAAACCGTTGTAAGGTCTTTAGAGACTGTTCAAACACACACAGACAAAAGTTTGGGGTCAGTATGATTTTTAAATGTTTTAAAATAAGTTTCTCCTGCTTACCAAGGCTGCATTTATTTAATCAAAATAAAGAACACGTTGTTACATTGTGAAATGTTATCGCACTTTAAAATAACTGTTCAAAAGTAGTTTATCATTTAATTTAATAATTTAATCCAGATTTTACCAAATGGATTTTCAGCTTCATTACTTCAGTCCTCAGTCACATGACCCTTCACTCCAATAATAATAATTATTATTGTTATTTATTATAATTATTATGATTATTATGATTATGATTATTATTATTATTATTATGAATGGTAATTGTAATAAAAGCAATAATGACTGGAGTAATCATTTTATTTGAGACTACATACAACAAGAAAAGCCGTTGTTTGAAATTATAATAAATATTTAACAATTTACATTTTTTTTATATTTAAAAAAAATATTTAGCCTTGATGAAAAATACATAAAAAGCCAAGATAAAAAATTGAGCCCAAACTTTTAACCAGTAGTGCAGACTGCAGTTCACAGTATTACTGTTGTTTTTACGCTCAATGAAATGAAAGTAATGTCTGCATCCATTTAAAGAAGCAAGCACTCGTCAACAGCTATTTTAAGCTCGTGTTTTCAGCTTGTGTGGCGTTGCAGCTGAAAACATGATTAAAAAAAAAGAAAATGTTGTTTTATAAAATATATATTTGTAACAAAAGTAATGCAATTACACTGACTTTAGTAGCTGTAATCAAATGACACAAATTTAAAATGCAATTCGTTACATTACTGCGTTCCCCAAATATATATTTAAAATACAGTAATGCATTACTGTAGAAAGTGTTATAATGGCCTCATGACAATCATTGGTATAGTTGTTGCTAGAAGGAATACAGCTGCAGCCAGAAATTAACAAGAGTTTTATTATATTATTGTCTAAATTACTATAGTGGCCAAGAAAGCTTAATGTGCTGCAATTTAAGAAAACAGATGCAACTGCAAAAAGGCAGTCATGTGAGAAAACATCTTCATTGGTTTGTATTCATACATGCTTACAGTGCTAACACATTTTTCAAAAATGCTCTGCATTTTCACACAGTGCTAACAATTTACGAAAACATGCTGGATTATCTCACAACACATGCAAATAGCATGGAATACCACGGATAAGTTTCAAGAGGACCCTAAAATGTGACAGACCCGGGTATTTAGGCTATGGTTATTTAGGCTAATAAATACTAAAGACAAGAGAATCCGGATGTAAAAAACAAACAAACAAAAAACTCACCTTTCAAAGATCACCTACAACTTCACTGAGCAATAAGCTGTCTCATTTCAGAGGCTGCATTCTCCGAAGGATGCAGACTTCAAAGGTGAGTCCTTCAAAAACCACACAGGCTGAAGCGAGCGTTTTAAAATGAGACAATCAAACCTACAGAGGACAGATCTCATCACCAGGCAACCGTCACAGCTGCTGTTGATAAGCGCTGATAAAATTTGTAGTGACTTTTTTAAAGTGATTTTAAAACTTGTTTTAAGCAATCTGAAGGCAAAACAATGTTTATAAAAGCTGGAAATATATTTCCTCATATCCATACATGTACACATAAATATGTAGACTGTCTATAAAATCACTCTTTCGTATTAGTTTTTTAACATGTGTTTTAATATCCACTTAAAATAAACCTAATTCATAAGACATTTAAACCGGAGTTTTCTTTTAAAACGTCCTCCCGTTATCAGTGTGCAACGAATCTTGGGACGTTCAAGGCTGTGAAGGATCCACCGGTTGTGTCCTTCATTACCTGGGAAATGAAGGAGGCATTTGAAGGAGCCTTCAAATTTTTTTGAATGCTCGAATGCATCCTGCATCCTCTGAAATGAGACACGGCTATAGTCACGGCTCAGCAGCGTCCGTCATGTTTTTGGGTCCTCTTGAAACATTTTCATTGTGTTCTGTTGGGTTTAAAAGTGTTGTCAGAAAATGCAGCACGTTTTTTAAAGTGTATGTGTTGTGAGGATTTGCAGCACGTGTGCTCTTAAACGGATGAAGGTCTTTCCTTATTTTGCTGGCATTTTTTTGTAATTGCACGTGTTTTCTTAAATTGCAGCATGTTCAGCTCTCTTGGCCACCGTAAATTACCAATAATTGTATTTCATTAACATCTACCCTAACCCCCTTAACCCTACCATCACTCTAATGTAAAAACAGTAATTATACTGAATATTATTGGCATTATTTATTAAATTACCCATTAAATTATATTTTATTAACTCCTATCCTCATCCCAACCCTAAACCTTCCCCCCACAGTACGATATTATTTATTACTGTTCTGTGTCACAAAAATTATGTTATATTAATGCACAGCTGTTTTCCATCTAGACTTTACTTTGTTTATGACAGATTTAAGACAATTATGTTGTCTTGGTAATGTCAAGTTGTCATGACCAAACAAAGACAGGCTGCAATGTACTTGTTTATGTCAAGTTGTCATAACAAAGACAGCTCAAACAATGTCACCTTTGCATTTAAAACGACATAACTGAACTAATGACACTTAATAACAGTCACAAACATGCATAAACTCCTCTTTATATATTTATGACATGTCATGCTATGACTATAAAGTCTTCATGACATCTTTTAAACACCCCCTGGGAGTAAAATTCTACCCAGTATAATAGCGTGCTTTAGTCTTTCTCCCTTTTCAAGTCTGTTATTTGATTTCTTTTCTTCCCAGATTCGGACCTTAGCATGCGAACAGTGAGTACTCCAAGTCCAGCTCTGATTTTGCCACCTCGTTCATCTTCAGCTGTACTAAATGGCTCCTCAACGTCCTCTTCAACATTTGGGACGGAAACCATCGCCATGGTCCACATGCCCCCTACGTCCCTCACCCATCCTCAAAGATGCCTACGCCAGCCGAGGGACCAGCAGGGGGCGCCGGTTGACATCCTCCCCGACCATGCTTTCCTACAGATCTTCACCCATTTGCCCACCAACCAGCTGTGCCGATGCGCCCGCGTATGTCGTCGCTGGTACAACTTGGCGTGGGACCCCCGTCTATGGAGGACTATTCGGCTGACGGGAGATGTGCTGCATGTGGATCGAGCACTTCGGGTTCTCACTCGCAGACTGTGCCAGGACACCCCAAATGTGTGTCTGACGGTGGAGACGGTGATGGTCAGTGGCTGTCGGAGGCTGACTGATCGAGGACTGTATACGGTGGCACAGTCCTGCCCTGAACTACGGCGCCTAGAGGTGGCTGGCTGTTATAATGTGTCCAATGAGGCCGTGTTTGAGGTGGTGTCACGCTGCCCCAACCTGGAACATCTGGATGTTTCAGGTAATTTAGTTCCAGAGATACTATTTGATTTGATTTACAGTATTTATTTGTCCTGAATGGATATACTTCAATTTCAGCTGTTCAGAAGTTGTTACATTGTTTTATCAATTCACATTGGGTGAGGGTATCCAGCTACAAAACCTGATTGTCAAAATGGTTAGATCAGAATGATTCGATTTTATAGAACTTAAAGTTCTATTAAATAGAAATAATTTTTTATTTAATTAATGCAAGTAGGTATGGAAGCCTTGAAGCTTTTTTACCATGAATATTTAAAAAGCAATACCATGAACAACATATTTTCTAATAAATGTGAGATAAAAACCTACAATCAATTATTCAGAAATGCAAGCTGTCCGAATTGTATAATCTAATGCCTGAATTGCGAGATGCAAATTCAAAATTCTGTAAAGAAAGGCAAAACGGTGAGATATCAAACCTGAATTTGCGAGATAATACCTGAATTTTGAGACAAAAAGTAATAACAGATTTTTGTTTCTTGAATTACGCTTTTAATTCTGCTTAAAAAGTCAAAAATGTGAGATAGAAACTCTGAAGTGAACTCAGAAATGTGAAATACAAACATTCAACTGTTAGATATAAACTCAGAATTCTGTTTAAAAATGTCAGAATTGTGAGATATAAACTCTTAAATTGCAGCATAAACTAAATTATGAAACAAAACGTCAGAAATATTTGCAATTAATTCTGAATTGTAAGATATAAACTCAGAATTCTGGTTAAAAAGTCTGAACTGTGAGATAGAAATCCTGAACTGCAAGATATATACCAAATTCTGAAAAAAAAAGTCAGAATTGTTGGCACAATAGCCTAGTGGTTAGTGCGCTGACAGGGTGTCCTAAGTTCGAAACCCGGCTCGATGGCATTTCCCGTCCTTACCACCTCTCTCTCCCACTTCGCTTTCTGTCTGATTACTGTCCTATCTAATAATGGCAAAAGGCCAAAAAAAAAAAAATTTAAAAATTCAGAGTTTGTTAGATATTTAGCCAGAATTATAAGATAAAAACTCAGAATTGTGAGATACAAACCTTCAACTGTTAGATATAAACTCAAAATTCTGTTTAAAAATATCAGAATTGTGAGATATGAACTCTTAAATTGCAGCATAAACTTAATTATGAGACAAAATAAAAAGTTTGCTGTGCTTTCATGATTATTGTTCTGTAATTGTGTAATCTGTTGTGATATGCAAATTAAAAAAGTAATAAATATATTGTACAAAAATTACGAGACAACGAGACAAAAGGTCTTGCTATAAACCCACTCGTGACATGTAAACTCAGGATTCTGTTTTTAAAAAGCCAGAACTGTGAGATACAAACCTTGAACTACGAGAAATATACTGAGACTTCTGAGACTACCCTATCATACACACGGCGCAATTTAGCGTGATTTTCAGACAAGCACAACCCTAATTTTCACGTTTGGCTCCACGTTGTTTAAAGAGCAAATTCGTTTGCACCACTTTATTTTTTCAATCTAAAAAAAGGGGTTGTGTTAAGGTGCACTGTTGGCGTGTTGCTATTTTGAGGAACTGAACTAGACCGTGCCATTGACCAACTAAAAGCTTGTCTAAAGTCCAGAACAGAATGCGTTAGTTATGCGCCTATGTGGGTTCAAATGCTTAAAGGGCCATGAAACCCCCTTGTTTCAGCAGGGTGTTTTCACACCTCTACTTTGGAAAAAGTCAGAAAAGTGGGCGTGTCCAGCTCTGTTTAGGGGGGAGTGTCGGAGGAAGAAAAGAGGCTTGGTGTGGGAGTGTCTATTTGGGCACGCTGAATTTCAGAGTCAAAACACACAACCACAGCGGACAATGTGACTGTGTTTACATGGACATCTGTAGTCAAATTATTTGCCAGATTATTAAATGGTGGACTTTAACTGCAGTTTGGCTCTTTCATTCAGGGAATTCATTCATGTCCCTCCCGACAAACGAAATATTTGATTCGAGGAACTGCTGTAAGCGTGTATTTTTCATGCAATGTTTGATACCGCACGGCGAATGAGAGAAAAAAAAACTCAGCATTTCCCGGAAACTTAGATGCACACAGCAGGTAGCGTCAGAAAGCCGCGTGTGTTATTGACAAAATCCAACACGAGGTTATAGTTTGGTTGTAACTGTTAATGCTAACTTGTTAAGACTCTGTCCAATAGTTTGTTTGATACGAATAAAATACGAACTGAATAAACAAAGAGAACTGGTCGCTCACTTACCAAATCTGTAGAGACAGGACAATCCACAGCAACTAGAGCCGCGTCTTTATTTAGAGGAGACTACAAGCGAATCCGGATCTCAGCATTTGCAGATGAGAACAGCTCTCAGGTAAACAATAATCCTCCTTAGACACGTAAGTTATTGTTGTCCCGCGTCACGTACACTGTACATCCACACGTGACGCCAGCTGCGCTGTCACAGAGAGAAAATGAAAACAAAACTTCACTGCAGCAAACTATAAAAGCACTTCACGCTTGTTTTGCCAACACAACGTGGCGTCTCTGCCGTCTACACTCTGACAGTAATGAATATTAATGAAGTTGCACAATAGAGCGCGCTGATTGGTTTGAACCAAGCTTTACTCATGCATTAATCCATCACACTGTAAGACGTAATAAGACACACTCTGGCACAGACGCCCAGTCTGCACGCTGGAATACAACGCTATTATGTCATGGTCGTGACGCAGCTTAAAAAATTAGTTTCAAACCGGAAGTACGAATTTGCTTGAAATAACGCAAAAACAACCAATTTACACTTTTTAGTGAAATATAGGTGTCCTAATAGTGTTTTTAGCAGTGTGGGACACATATACGACTGTCAACAGCTCAAAAAATGTGTTTTGGTGTTTCGTGACCCTTTAATACACACAGGATGTACAGCAATACACAAATATTTTTACATATGTAAAAAATTCAAGGATTAAAATGTTACAAAAAATCACTGCCTCCATGGCTTCTTCATGTCAAGGGACTTTTTCCAGTTTATTCATGACAATCAGCATTTGTATAATGTTATTATTATTAGCAGTATTATTTATTATATGCATATTTACAATTGTTTTAATAAAAACAAGTTTAGATTTGTCCACCTGTCAGGTTTTGGAGACGTATGCATCACCATATGGGCATAAGGATAAGATGTGTGTTTGGATATAACACTGGATATAAGTCTGGATATAAGTTTTTGACCACACTTCGTTATTCATGTTCATTTATTTATTTGCTGAAAATTAGAACTGAATATAGAAAAAGATTTGAAACAAATCTTTGCGCCTAACAAACAAAATTAAATATGCAGGTTGATGGATGTCTTCAGTTGTGTGCGTAAAAAAACATTTCCTTATCCACGAAAGTAAAGGAGTAAAATAAAGATTTAAAGTAAAGAGAAAGTAAAGAGCCGAATGAAGGAGGCTCATTCTTCATCCTCGCACTCCAGATTGTCTGATTAAGTGTTTATATAAAACCATAAAGGGCATGTCCGAATCCACTTTTGCTATTTTAGGGACAGAAAATTACGGTTTGTGCCCTGGTGCATGGTCTAACTGGGTTGTTCTTTTTCTCTTAATCTCCCATTCCCTTTTAGAGTAACAGTTGGCTCATGCTGTGGCCCATTTGCTATTTACATGACAGACTTTGTAAGTGTAAAAACTGAAAGCTTCACAAAAAGAAAATAGTAAAAGAAACCATCTGCAGCACGAGGATAAAGAACGAGCCCCCTCCATTCAGCCTCTTTACTTTCTCTTTACTTTCCTGGATAAGGAAACTGTTGTACGAACTCCACTGAAGACATCCATTATCCTACATATTTAATTTTGTTTGTTAAGCGCAAAGACTTGTTTCAAAACTATTTCTAAATTCAGTTTTAATTTCCAGCAAACAAATAAATGAACAATAATAATGAAGTGTGGTCAAAAAATTTGTTATGGAGTTATATCCAAACACATGTCACATGCCCAATATGGTCCAAAACTCGACAGGTAGACAAATCTAAGCTTGTTTTTAATACAACCAATATAAATATGCATATAAAAAATAATACTAATAATAACATTTTACAAAAGCAAGTTGTCATGAATAAACTGAAAAACATAAAGAAGGCATGGGCAGGGGTTCTTATATTTATGGAGAAAATTATAATTTTTTTGTAACATTTTACAGTGCTCTGCACCAAACTTTAGACCTGCTCTCAGCTGGTCTATTGCACACTCTATTTTAGTTCCTCAAAAGAGCAAAACGCCAACAATGCACCTTAGCACATCTCCTTTCTAGATCAGAACACCCATGAGTCCACAAAGCGCTGCAAATAGATTTATTATATAAACAATGTGGTGGAAAACATGACAATTAGGGTTGTGCGCTGGTCTGAAAATATCAACAAATCATGGCAAACACGTCGATAAGGCCCATAAACTCTAAATTGCTGTATTATACTAAATTAAGACCAAAATCCAGAATTGTGAGATATAAACCCTGCATTTCAAAATATAAACTGAGTTATGAGACAGGAGTATGTTTTTATTTTTCAAGATAATAATTTAGCTTTGACATTCAGTATAAACAGAAGAAACATTGAAGTATTTTAACACAGTCGTCTTCTCTCTGACAATCTCAAGAAAACCTGTCGGTGTTGTGGATGTGTCGGGTCCACAGACTCTCTGAAAGCCCAGAAGGATTTTTATTCAGCTTTTATGAATGACTTCCTGACTCTGAGCCAAACAGCCTGAGCTTCACCTGCTTTGTTGTCCGGCACAGAAGACAGTTTCAGACTATGCTGAAATGTCCAGGACTTCCTCTTGGAAAAGCTGGAAAAGGTATTAATAGCTCTGGCATTCGGTCTGCGCTCTCTATACTTCCCAAAAGAAACATAAGCCCAAGCAGAACCAGGACCTCTGACTTCAAGGTGCTTTGGGAAAATCTGCTACCCTAATTTAGGGAATCAATGATCAGCTGTATTTTGTATAAAATAAATGACTATAAAGGTA